TGGCTCCATCACCCAGGGGAGATGGGGTGACAAATCTGTGGGAGGCAAAGCATCATCTGGGCCTCAGCTTTCCCCATCCAAAAGTCCCAGAAAGGCTTAATTATTAATTTGATGATCTGAAAGTCCCCTATACTGGTGCTTTGTGATTTTTCTGCACCAAGAAAGAAATGTATTCAGGCCCCATGATTCTCCAGAACTAAATGTGTTTTGTTGCTTTTCTTNGCATGTAAGGACTAAACAAGGTGATACATGCAAAGTACCGAGGCAGGATGTCAGCACAGCTGAGGGTGCTCTTTGAGGGCTCTCGGGCTCTGGGGATCTAAGGCCCCAGACACCAGGGACAGAGGATCCTGGGCAGCCAGAGGAGCTGCCTCGAACCCTGTATTCTCCTCATCAGCATCTCCTCGCTGAGTCCTAGTTGAACCCCCGCTCTGCCTGTTTCTGCCCCGTGTAGCCCGTCATGCCACCCACGCTACAGGGGAGAGTCCAGCCAGAGAGGGATAGCCACNCTCGAACCCTGTGTTCTCCTCATCAGCATCTCTTCGCTGAGTCCTAGTTGAACCCCCGCTCTGCCTGTTTCTGCCCCGTGTAGCCCGTCATGCCACCCACGCTACAGGGGAGAGTCCAGCCAGAGAGGGATAGCCACATCCCTGAGGTCACACAGCAGTGAGAGCTGGGTCTGCCCAACTCTTCACCTACCCCTTCAGCACACTGTGCCCAAGAGCCAGGTAAGGGGACCAGCCTGTCTCACACACAGGATAATTGGTCACCCCAGAGCCAGGCCACAGAGAAGAGCAAACCTGCTATGGGGTCTTCGTCTGTGAGCTCTAACCTATGCTGTCAATCCCAACAGGGTGGCCTCAGGCAGACCCGTCACCCCTCTGGGCCCTGCTTCCAATGGAGGGAGGGGGTGTTATTAACAAGGTCCCACTTCCTAGGCATGGCTGGCTGAATAATGGCCCCAGACATATCAGATCGTAATCCCTGAACTCGACAATGGTCCCTGACATGGCAAAAGGGACTTTGCAAATGAGATTAAGTGAAGGACCTTGAGATGGGAAGATGCACTGGTTAATTTCATGAGTCTACGTGGCCAGGCCATGGTGCCCAGATATTTGGTCAAACACCACTCCAGATGTTGCTGCGTGGGTATGTTTTTGATGAGATTGAGATTTAAATTACTGGACTTAGTAAAGCAGATGATCCTCCATAGTGTGGGTGGGTCTCATCCAAGCAGGTGAAGGCCTAAGAGAAGAAAGACAGAGGTCCCAAAGGCAGAGGGAGTTCTGCCAGCGATGCCTTTGGACTGAAGCTGTGGCATCAGCCCTGCCCTGGGTGTCCCGCCTGCCAGCCTGCCCTGCAGGCTTCAGACTCACCAGTTCCATGGTTCCGTGAGCTAATTCCTTACAATCAGTCTCTCTGAGTAGTTCGTGGGAAAATAGAATTAAAAGATAATATGAATTCTATGAACTTTTTGAAGACCCCTTGTGTATGTGTATATACATGCACGCGCACACACACATGCATGCACACACACGCACGCATACACATGCATGCACACACACGGACACACACACATGCATGCACACATGCACACATGCATGCACACACGCATGCATACACACACGCACGCACACACACGCACGCACACACATGCACGCACACACACGCACGCACACACACGTACGCATACACACACGCACACACACACCTGCCACTGCACCCCACCCCCATTGATTCCGTTTCTCTGAAGAACTCTAACTAAAAACTAGGAGATTATCCTGGATCTTTGATTGCCCGGGGGCCCACTGTCCTCACGGGTTCCTCATAAAAGGGAGGCAGGAGTGTCAGAGGCAGAGAGAGGCTGGAAGAGGCTGCACTGCTGGTTTTGCAGATGGAGGAAGGAGCCA